ATAAGCCTTTAGCCAGCTACGGACGCTGGGAGTCGGATCAGCTAAGAAGCGACCTGCCAGCCAATCTGCCCAGATTCTCTTGAAGCACGGCACGCTGGCTTTAACGCCAACTGCTGGGCGTGATCGTTGGCTGGAACACTTTGCGGAGCAGGAGCTTGGTTTTCGTGTACCCGCCACCGCTTGCTGCAGTTTGTAGGAGAAGCTAGCTATCCGCTTGCTGAGATTGAGGACTCAGCGGCGAAAGTGCTACCGACGCTTGCTACGTTTGAACAGCAACTTCTGAAGACCTCGAGCTCTTGTGCGAACGGTGTGGACTGTGTGCCTGGTGCTATCCTTCGCATGTGCTCTACCCAATGTGCCCGTCTTTACTCCCCCTTAGTGTTGAAGCACATGATGTGTATTCATGAACCTGTGCAGTGGAAAAGCTCGAGACTGGCGGATTTGCACAAGGGCCGAGGTCAGCCCAATGTTTGTGCCTCTAGCAGGTCAGTGGCCATAGGGCCCCAGGTGGGCAAGCGCGCACATGCTCTGGTCGCAGGGCGCCTTCAGCCTTTTCTAGATACGTATGCACCTGAATCGCAGTGTGGAGGCATCAAGGGACGTGGGACTGGCTTTGCGGTTCACACGGTTCGGCTTATGCAGGAGCTTTCTCGCATTCGATCGGAGTCGATGTCGACCCTCTTCGTGGACCTGGAGGCCGCATTTCACCATGCTGTTCGAGAGATTCTTATTCGATTCGAAGGAGAGGAGGAGATTTCCGATGAGCGAGTTCTCAACTACTATATGCATCAGGTCTGCCGCCCTCTTGCATGAACCTACTTGCAGCGGAGCTCTCCCAGCCACCGCTGCTTGGGGAACTGGAGGTCCCTGTGCATCTGCGGCGCATCTTGGCGGAGACCTTGTCGGGGACATGGGCCACGACGCAGGGCTCTGGAGAAGTAGCTATCATGACTACCGGGACCAGGCCAGGCAACACGTTGGCGGCCCAGCTCTTCCTGTTCATCGTGCCCAGGTGTATTCGGAAGACGCGGGACCTCTTGGTGGCTGCTGGGCCCCATCAGGAGCTCGATGTTCCCTCGGTTAGAACCCGACCCCCTGGCCAAGTGTGATACTAAGATCTCCGCAAATGGCGTTGAGTACAGTGATGACAGTCTCTTCAATGCTTGGGGCCCAGCCGGCTCCATTATCCAACGTACTTGCACACTCGCGTCGATTGTGGCGGACTCCTTCACCCCCGTGGGCCTCAAGATCAATGTGGGCCCCACCAAGACGGCCCTGCTGGTCACCTTTCGAGGACCTGGCTCGGCTTCGGCCCGCAAGCAGTTCTGGATCGAGGAGGAGGGCAAGGTTTGTATTCCTGGAACCCGCACGTTTCCTCAAGGCCTGTCTTTGGAGGCTGCACACTCGTATAAGCATCTTGGGGGTATGGTCTCGGACGCGCAGGACATGGCCCCTGAGCTGGCCTATCGGGTTTCCTCGACGTCGTCGTCGCTGCAGGCCCTACGACAGACGGTATTTCCGAACCCTCAGCTTCCAGCGCAGCATAAGCTGCAGCTGTCCGACGTGCTGATACTCTCGGGCAGGCTCTACAACGCGGCTACGTGGCCGAACACTACCGCTGCTCAATTTAAGAAGTACCGTACTGGAATCATTCGCATCTATCGGTCAGCGCTGGGACGGCCGGCCTATGATGATGATGCTGAAACAGACCAGGCCATTTTGGCACTGGCTAACAAGTGCGACGTGGATATCATGATGCGCTGGCACCGTCTCCGCTATCTTACCCGTCTTTATAGGCACGCTCCTGGGGCTCTCTTTGGGTTGATTCGGGCTACGTCCGAGCCGAAGCACTCGTGGTTCAACATGGTTTTGAATGATTTGAGATGGCTCCGTACTCGGGTTTCTCGGCTTCGTGAGGTTCCAAGTCCGTTCTCGGAGTTTGGGCCATGGGAGAAGGAGATCATGGGAAGGGGGCAGCACTGGGCGAACCTGGTTAGATCTGGGATTGAATCACATATCCGTTGGGCCAGCCGTGTCGAGGATGCCAAGCGACGCACGCAGGAGTTTTTTTCAGCACGCTGCAAATATTGGAGTGACGCCAGATCTGTCTCTGCGACCGGTTCCTGTGCCTGTTGTGACTCGCTGCCCGTTTTGCCCGTTCCTGTCCCCGAAGTGTGCCGCAGTCAAGTCTCATATTGCCCGACTTCATCATAGGCAGCGTGATGTTGCCGCCAGATATTTACACAGTAGTACATGCCCTATATGTCTGATAGGGTTCAGCTCTGTGGAACTAAGTATTGATCACCTGACGTATGGCAACCCCAATTGCTTCATCTCGGCCCTCCTGTTCCTGAACCCTGAGGCTTCGGAGGTCTTGGAGGAGGTACGTGCTTTGGAGGCTTCTGAGAGGAAACAGGCCCGACAAAAAGGGGCCATGCGACGGGGAGCTTGGCTCCCTGCCTATCGAGTGCCTGGACCTCGGAATGCTCCCCAAGCCACCCAGTTGCCATGTGTGGACGCCTGGCAGGTCATACGTAGTATGGAATACCAGTACGAGGACGCCCCAGAGCCCATCTTTGAGGTCCAGAGTGAGGTACCCCACTGTGAGCCCCCACTGGAAGACGAGCATGAATTTGAACCTCTAGCCTATGACGGACCAGCGGCTGAGCGTTGCCCTCGACCGCTACAGTATGCTGTGCTTGCCTTTTTACACCTGTTATCAGGAGCCCGGAGGACAGGAGATGTGCACAAGGAGCTCGAGCGTGTGCTGGTCCATGGGCCCGTGACCGTCATTATCATTTCCTGTGATGTGGCGTGTGATGCGGTGAGTGGTGACCTGACTCGTGCAGATATTGTGCAGAAGTGGGATGTGCTTCTGAGATCAGGCCGTGCTATAGGACTCATAGGAGGCCCGCCGTGCGAGACCTGGTCAGCTGCGCGATGGCAGGAGCTTCGAGTTGCTGATCGATTTCGCCCCCCAACCCCTCTTCGTACCCTTAAACACAGATGGGGTCGTCCTGATGTTTCGAGTCGTCAACATTTGCAGCTCTCAATTGGAATGCAGCTCCTGCTGAGCCAGCACAAGCTGATGCTGACCTGCCTGGAGGTAGGTGCGTGTGCACTGAAAGAGCATCCAGAGGAGGCCCACTGGGAACCTCGAGCTCCCAGCTCGTGGCACTCTGCCACGGCACGGGCCTTGTGTGCTGCCCCTCCCTCCAGAACTTTCAGTTTCGACCTATGTGTTTTCGGACAGGCCAGTAAGGCCCCAACAACGTTCCTATGCATAAGACTCGACTCCATCGGGGACGAAAGTCAGGGACTGGGAAGATGGGGAAGATGTGACCATCCAAGGAACACTCACACCACATTGCTTGAGGAAAGTGGAGGACTGCGCCCCAAAAAAGGTACCCTCAGGCGCTGTGTGCAGCAATGGGACGTGCAGTATCGGAGTTTGTTGCAGAGGCTTATCGGCTAAGTGACCGTGAAGCCCTGGACCCCACGGATCTTCCTGATGGACTGAGCCAGTTTTTTCAGGCCCTCGACTCCTATGCTGCTGCAGCCCCCAATGAAGAGATTGCTCTTGACTTTGCTGGTTTCAGTGATCGGGGGCCCAGGGACCTCAGATTTGACCGCCCTGCTGTCCCTCTGGCCCCCCAGGACCGTGGTGATGTGCCGTGTCCTGAGCCACTTCCGGAGCCCCAGGTGGTTGAGGGCGGGGATTTCTGGCCTGACGAACCCGACCCCTGGGCCGAGGAGGGGATGCTGAGGACTCTGGAGGCGTCTGGGGATCCCTGGGTTCCCCACCCCGCTCCTCCTCCTCCTCCTCCTCCTCCCCCCCCCCGCCCGAGTGGAGCTCACCGCCGAGCTGCGGCAGGCCATCGCCCGCCGCCGCGAGCAGGCGAGGTTCCGCCGAGCTCTTCGGCGGGCCGTTCCAGCAGGAGGCCTCTTTTCTTCGGCTGCTGCTGCTGATGCGTCCCCTCTTCCCCTGCCTCCTCTCGTGGATGAGGATAGGGTCCGAGCGTGCCGAGCTCATGCCCTTCTCTGCTGTGCGGCAGGGCGAGGCTCGGACGGCGCGACGAGGTGATGTGGTCCCTCGTTGCTCTCTTTTTGTTGTCATCTGTGTGCTCGCATAGTGCTTGTACATGTTGTGTGATATCGCTCTTGCGGCTGCCCATGAGCCCTCATTGTCCAGAATGTCCAGAATGTCCTCCTCCTTCTCCTCCTCCTCCTCCTCCTCCTCCTCCTCCTCCTCCTCCTCCTCCTCCTCCCCCTCTCTCCCGCGGGTCCCTGGGCACCCCGAGGATCGCCCGCCGCCTCCGCCCCTCCTCGCCGCCTGCCCCCCCCCCCCCCCCCCCCCAGGAGGAGGAGGGAGGAGGAGGAGGAGGAGTGAAAGTACCCAGAGGGAGGAGGAGGAGGAGGAGGAGGAGGAGGAGGAGGAGGACGCATGACGCAGCATAGAACGGCGAAGCATCCGAGAACGCGACGACGACTATATAATACTGGGAAAAGGTGATAACAAACCAGCCTTCAGAGAAAACCACGTAAATGCATATTAGACTGGACGAGCCTGATCCCAGGTGCAGTGTGCCTGCCTTCAGAGAGCCAGTCCCTGGCTCGCCGACTCGCCGGCGGGCAGGGTTGGGGGGCCAGGGGGAGGACACCCCTCCCTCTTTCCCCGCACTTCCACTTCCGATGCCCCTGCCCCCTGCCCCCTGTCCCCTCTCGTCTTTCCAAATTTCCAAGGGCCCAACGACACACAAACACATGCACACAAATCCCAAGACTCCCCTTATGTTGTCCACGCTCTGTGGACCGCCGTCTTGACTCCACCTCCCACATGTTTGCAAATCTGTTCCTGGGTATCGACGACTCGGTGTGCCTGTGTGGTGTTTGTTCCTCCTGACTCTTCGCCCTGCCCTCCCTGCCACCCGCCTCCCTCCTCCCCCCTCTCTCCTTCCCCTGCCCCGCTGCCCTCTGCCGACCCCCCCGCCGCCGAGACTTTTGCAGCGCGCGTCGGCTCCCGCCAGGAGCGAACAAGCCCCGTATGGCCTCTGCGCCCGCCAGGCCGCCCGAGCGGGGGGGACGCGCCGCTGGCAGAAGGCCCGCTGGGCTACGAGAACTCATCGGCGTCGGCGTCGTCCCCAGCGTAGGGATCCTCGCGGATCTGGCAGGCGGGAGGAGGGGTGGATAACGAGGGGTGAGGAAGAGGAGGAGGAGGAGGAGGAGGAGGAGGAGGAGGAGGAGGAGGAGGAGGAGGAGGAGGAGGAGGAGGAGGGGAAGGAGGACAACGAGGAGGACGAGGAGGAGGAGGACGAGGAGGAGGAGGAGGAGGAGGAGGACGAGGAGAGAGGAGGAGAGAGGAGGAGGAGGAGGAGGAGGAGGAGGGGGAGGAGGAGAAAGAGGGGGAGAGGAGGAGGAGGAGGAGGAGGAGGAGGAGGAGGAGGAGGAGGAGGAGGAGGAGGAGGAGGAGGATCGGGAGGAGGATCGGGGTTATGATGATGCTGCTGATGATGATGCTGGTGATGATGATGCTGAGGAGGAGGAGGACGGTATGGATTGTACGGGATTGGATACAGAGAGACACGAGGTACACATAGGGGGCCCAATGCGTCCGTCAGCGGCGCGCCATGATAGCGCAAGGGCCCTTGTGCACCGATATGGCGGCGCGCGAGGGAATATAGAAAAATGTGCAGGAGGAGAGGCTGACAGGGGCCTGACAACCACAGCTCCGACGCCTCCTCGCTTCAGAATATGAAATTCCTCTCACACACTATATATATATACACACATACATATGTGTGTATATATACATACATACATACATACATACATACCGTAGCCATTCTACGTACTACCAACGCCTCAGTGGAATACGGCTGCCACAGCCCACCGAACACGTAGTAGTTGAGAGCATCTTTAGGAAAGTTCTTGGGAGGGATGTTCTGGCCCAGAGTCCATCATGAGGTCTTCCGACTTCGCTGCGTCTGTAGCCTGCCCCATCAAATCCATGAAACTCTGTGGATCGATTCCGGGTTGGTCGTACTGACGGTCAATGCGCTCCAGGAAACGATCTGCTGCACTGAGCTCCTTGGTCCACTGAGGGACCATCTCTCGTCCTTGGGAACCAGCCTGACCTCGAGAATCAGGAGGTCGGAGTCCTCGATCTCCTCGTATGGGTACCTCGAACATCAGGAGGTCGCGCGTGCAGCATTCGGCTTGAATCGTTCGAAACCCGCGGCGGAGGTGACCACTTCACTTAAGGGGCACAATTGGAGGGGCGCGCGCTTTCACGCCCATGTTGCGACACAGCTTAAGGGACACACTTGAAGTTGGCGACGCGCACAGGGGGGTAGGGAGAGGGGGGAAGTCTTCTTAGAAGGAGGCTGCTGCTTAGAAGGCGCAGGCCTTACATCTACAGAGAAGGTCCGCGCCTTCTTAGAAGCATTGGTGCTTCTAAGAAGCCTTCCCCCCTCCCCCTACCCCCCTCTGCGCGTGGCCGATACAAGGACACGCTGAAAGGGGCACGCAAACAGTTGAAGGGACACAACGTTGGGGTTGTGGATGCCACGGCAATGGACACTCTAACATTCCTATCATTGAATTAAAGATGTGTTTAAAAAAGCGTAAAGCATGTTCTAACCATGCTTCAAACATGCGTTGACAAATCTCAAACATGTTTGAAAGATGTTTTAGACATCTGGAAATTATTTCGCAACATGTTTCCTCTCCATGAGTCTCGGCGGCGAACCAGGAGGGGAAGTGAGAAGTGGCGGGCCTGCCCAGAAGGCTCGGAAGTCCCTGGGGCTTCTGAGAAGTTTCCTGAGCCTTCCCAGAAGACAAAAAAAACTTCTCAGAAGGCGCGAGGCCTTCTCAGAAGTCCCGCCGCCTTCAAAGGAGGCCTTCTCCTTCTCACTTCCCCCCCCCGCTCGCCACGGATCATCGACATCCACACCGTCAGGGGCCCAGTGGAAGGAACGCGCGCGCGCCTCCGCCGACGGGCGCGAGAACCTCCCAGAGGGGCAAGGCGGCCCCGCTGGGAGCCAGAGTTGCCCTGAGCGCTCCGGAGAAGCTGGGTCCTCAGGAGGAGGAGGAGGAGGAGGAGGAGGAGGAGGAGGAGGGGGAGGAGGCGGAGGAGGAGGAGGAGGAGGAGGAGGAGGAGGAGAAGGAAGGATGGAGGAGGGAGGAGGGAGGAGGGAGGAGGGAGAGGCGGAGGGGGAGGAGGAGGAGGGAGGAGGAGGGAGGAGGAGGAGGAGGAGGAGGAGGCCCCAAGAAAACCAATGGACAATCTGTTTTGGAAGGAGCATGCCTACGGCCGCGCGGGGACCCGGGGGAGCTGGGACACCTGGAAACAGAAAGCCCTTGAGGGAACCTCGAAGATCCGAGAGGTGGGCAACAAGGGCCTGGAGATGTGGTGGCGTGAATGGTGCTAGGTGATCGTGTGCCGTCGCCACAAGGTCGTGATGAACCGCGGGCTGAGCACTTCCCTGGTGGCAGCAGGGATCCCAGTCCGAGACGCGAGCGCGGCCGCAGCAGGTACCCCCAGTCCCGAGGAGACGGAGGTGGCACACCAGAAGGCTGTCGACTGGACGCTAGTGAGTCGGCCGAACGATATCCAGAAGCTGCTGCTCACCCCGGATTCGGTCGGTTCGAGACGGCGCACCCCAGCGATGACAAGGTCGCGAACTCGATGTCGCCCGATCCGGACTCTGACGAACACCCGAGGGCGCCAGGGCGAGATCATGCTACGAGAGACAGCGACGGTGATCGGGCCGCCTGCCTCTCATCTGGGCAGTGCAGGCGCATGTTTCAGCGGCCCCGTGCCAGCCAGCCCCATCTCCAAGTGTTCTGACATTTCGCCATGTTTGATGTCTGCATGCATGGCCCGAGAATGCCACCCTCATACCTCTCTTCCACGGGGAGGTGCAGCAGCCAGAGCACTGCTGTTTCTCCCACTACCTGAAAATCCACCCCACGACAATTTGTTGTTCATCACATTATGTTTCCCCCATTGCCACTTCCGAGATTGTCAGAGATGAGGTGTTTATCGACGGGTCAGGTGGATCGACGAGTACCCGTATTCGGAATACCAATATTGGAGGGCCTCCGTCTTGGGAGTTTGTGAGTCTTGGGATGTCTCGGGATGAGCGCTTTCGTGTTGAGGGGAATCTGGCGTCCCCAGCATCCGCCCCTTCAGGAAGGTGGCGAGTGCTTCAGGATGGGCCGAATTTTATGCAAAAAGCCGCCATGTGATTCCGTGCGGGTCCACACAAACATCAGTATGGTGGTCGAAGCGGTTGCAGGAAGGGTATAACATCAGTCCTGTGGATTGTTGCCAATAAGCTTGGATGCGTTGGTCAAAGTGCTTTGGAATGATCTCAGACTGGAGTGGGCGCATGTCTCGGGGCACGTATGACACCAACTAAATCGGCTCGTGGATGCTGTTGCTCGCCTATCGTCCCCAAACCTGACTCCGACTGTGTCACATGATCTTATGCCGTGGCTGTGGATATCGGATCTGTCCAACCGTTGTATCGGGGTGTATGTTCAAACATTCCCTGCAAGACTGCCACCACTTCGCCTTCCCCTGCTGACACCTTCTGACGTGTTCTCGTCGCAGGCTGCAAGATGCGCATCGAATCATGGTGAGGATCTGTCTCGGACCGCCGTCACTTGAAAGCGACTGGCAATGGCTAATGTCCTGTAGTTGCGCACCCGCAAAATCAAGGTAAAAGGAGGCGGGTCCCGCCAGGGGTGCAGATACCAAGATGCGGCAGGCATTGATAGTCATGGCCGGATGCTCGCTGGCACTGGCGCATCAATGCGTTCGTCGCCAATACTTGATAGATGATACGTTGGAGACACGACTTGAACACAGACCATTGAGGATGGCGTCCGACTGTCTTATCATGACGACGGCGGCCGAATCGTCCAGACAATGTGGGCTGGCGCTTTGAATCAATGCGCGCATACTATTTTCGCATGGACGTACGCTGGCACGGCATCATGTTCGCGTGTGTGCGCACTCGTCTCGACATATATTAGCCGCAAATTGGGCGCCAAATGTGTGCATCGACGTCCTCGTTGCGCATGCGCCAAGCTCGCGTAAGACGGTGGCAGAGGTAGAAGCATAGCGGAAACAGTTGGAACAGGAGGTGCGGTCGAGACCTAATCCAGCACCCCTGCACTGCATGTTAGATGCGGACGCTATGCTGCGCTCACGACAATCAGGATCGGTCGGTGCGGTCGGGACCCAAACCGAGAATATGCTAGGGGGGCTGTTTTCACGGGTTCCTGGGACGGACTGATCAAGCAGCGGTGTCGACGCTTTTCGAACCAACTTCGGGGATCCATGGGACCTGGCTCCTCCCTGGGGCAGCACCACAAAACCCTGGGCACAATATTGACTAGGTGACAACTTCAAGTGACATGCTGCCGCTGAAAGAGGATCAGGGAGTGGATCCTGCTGTGGACCTTTCGATGCGTACCAACGATTACTTCGTGTTCATGGAAGAAGGACGGCTTCCACAAGATGGGAAACCTGCAGGCATATGAAAATGACCCCGAATCCCCACACGACCCCAAGAAACTGAATGATCATGAGCGTGCCGGCAATTGTCGGTGTGCGATACGTAGTATTCGTCAGTCAGGGCTTCAGCTGCACCCAGACGACCATACAATCAGAATTGGTTATCTGCTAAACCCCTTCGCTGGTGGACTGACGCTCCACTGGACGCGCCGACTTGCGTCGACTCCGAAACAGGTTGAATTGGCCGCGACTTGCGATTGTGTTGGTGGCGTGGGCATCGGACAGTAAGGAGGCACAATAATGATTCTGCATGCGCACGTGCACGCACAGGTGTTCGTACCGTGAAGGTCCCTCGCATGCGATACTGTATGACTGCTGTGAGGCAGTTGCAGAGCGCAGTGCGTCAGAGATAGCAGCTGCGCGTGCGTTCACCATGCCGTTGAAGGATGACGCAGATCGAGTGTGTACCTCCCCTCCTTACCCGAGAACATTCGGATCGGCTATGGAGCCTGTGTAGGTTGCGGCTCAGGACTATCGGTCAAAACTGTGCGAACGTCTACAGCGCAGGGACTGAAATCTACGAGACTGGGGGCAGTTTCCAAAGTATAACAGATCGCATCACATGCTGCGGTGGTTCTGCCCTCCTCCTCCTGCTACTCCTCCTCACTCAATCTCCCCTGCTTCCCATCGTCATCCTCCCCTCCTCCTTCGACTGATTTCGCGCGCAAGCGGTACGTAACACGTGGAAGCCTAGATCAAGGGCCAAACTACGAGGCTGATGTGACCGCCGCAGTGGAACCATGCACTGACCATGATGGAGACGATGACAGTGATGATGCTGTTTGTGACGATGTTGCTGCTGCTACTACTGCTGCTGCTGCTGACGGTGAGTATAGTAAAGGTGATGGTGGTGGTGATGTTGATGATGCTCATACTGATACTAGTAATGATGAATATGATGCTGCTGATGGTGATGATGTATATGAACATGACTATATATGATGATGCTGATGCACATGATGACAATGATGATGACGGTTAAGATGCCGATGATGATGATGCTGATGATGATGATGGTGACGATGACGACGATGCTGATGATGGTAATGCGGATACTGGTGATGATGAGCATGCTGATGCTGCTGATGATGCTGGTGAGCATGATGCTTATGCTGATGAGTATGATGACGATGGTGATGGTGATGATGATGATGCTGCTAATGATGATGATGCTGATCATGATGATGCCGCTGCTGCTGATCGAGAAGGCTGCGATTGAGGATTACGAGGAGGATGACGCCGAGGAACAGGACAGCGGAACCACGGCGACTGTGATGAAGGCGAGGAGGAGCACGGGGAGGAGCTGCACGGGACTGCCTCCACCAGTCGAGCGAGCGGGCCGCGGCCGGCAGTTGGCACGCCCATTCTGTCCTCCTCGCCCGTATCGTCGAGCATCGCCAGGGCGTCCTGCTCCTCCTCTGCCTGCAGCATGCAAAGTCAGCAGCGCCGGGGAGGAAGTGGGTCATCAGGCAAGTTTGGGGAGGAAGCAGCGCACGGAAAAGAGAGACGAAAGGATGGGAGAGGCAAGAAGGGGGGCGGGGGGTGTGAGAGTGAAGAACGGGGAGCCTGGGATGAGCGGACGGAACAGGCGAGCGGGGATCACAGGGGAGACGGGACAGACGAGGGGGATGGTGAGCATGGCGTGGCTGAGCCAGGGAAGCCGGGATGCCAAAGAGGTAACGGATGGGAAGAGGGGGGCAGAGGTTGGCACAGGGAGAATAAGACAAGACGGGTAGGAAGAGAGGACGGATACAGTGGAGGCCATTCCGCAAGAAACCTTCCACAAGAAAGCCAAACCTGAGACCCCAGAACGCCCATTGATCTTCGGTGTTGGAACGTCACGCTGCCCATAGCAAAACCGAAACCCAAGAAACCCACGGCACCCTGGAGGCAACCCGGGTGTTTCTTGGCATGGGCCTCCGCAGGAGGAGCAGCAGCAACGGCAGCGAGGGGGAGCCAAGATAGAGGGAGGGAGAGTGCGGGCAGGGCCTGAGAGGGAAACGTGGGGGCGGTGAAAAGGGGGGGTGAAAAGAACGAAGGGCGTGCCAGGATGGATGAGCTGGGAAAATGGATGGATGGTGGTGAGGAGGATAATGACGAACAGGGGGATGATGATGATGATGATGATGATGATGATGATGATGATGCTGATGATGATGATGATGATGATGATAATAATAATAATGAGGAGGAGGAGGAAGAGCAGGATGTCAGACGGTAAGATCGGGGCGAGAAAAAGGAAACAGACGGGAACCCCCTGGTGGGAAACTTTCAGGGGGGGTCATGGGATACTGGGAGCCGTTGAAGCCTCCAGGGTGAACGCTGGATCCTGAACGAGAGCAGGGTGGGTGGGAGAAGCGAAGAGGGAGATTAGGGACAAAGGACGGGGCGTGTGAGGAGGTCGGGAATGCGGTGGAGGAGGAAGGACGAGGCATAACAAAATGATTTTGAAATCTCGGTTCGTTGCGTGGCCGTGCTCATCGCACATGCTCAGGCGAATGTCGACCAAGTCGGGGCGAACAACCAAAGCTGCATGATGCTCGGGCGAACCTAGCTAGACGTGTAGGAAGAGAAGGGAGAACCGGACAGGAAGGATGGAGGAGGAGAGAGGGGGATGAGGAAGGACCGGCAGCAACAAGAGCAGGAAAGAGACGCTGATGGGGAGTGGGGGAAGAAGAGGAGGACGAGGAGGAGGACGAGGAGGAGGAGGAGGTGAGATCCGACCAAAACGGAAGGTAAAGGTTAGGCCGACCCAACCCTAACCAATACTTAGAAATCCTCCAGCTCCTAGGTCCTCGACAGGCGGCGGCGCCATGACCTGGTGTCGGGAAGCGCCGGTGGCGGCGAAAGAGAAACGGGCCGCGACGAAGGAACAGAGCCAACGGGGCCATTTTTGGGGCAACCCCAGTAATGGACCTATGAGTGCTCGCTGCCGGGCAGCGCCGAGGAGGAGGCGCCAAAGACCTCCGAATGAACAGAAACAACGGGGCAATCCTTGGGGCAACTCCAGCAATGGACCAATGGTTGCTCACTGCCGGGCAGCGCCGAAGAGGAGGCGCCGAAAACCACCGTGCCTCTGGGCCAGCACGTTGGCCCGCGCCGTGAGGATGTTGGAGACACCAAGCCTCCTCGCTGAGTTCCTGACCTTGCTAAAAGCAGTGGACAACAAATCTGGGGCGACAGCTCAACTGACCTGTGAATCAAAACTCCAGGAAAGAGATGCGGCCAGGACCTCTCGGGGCCTCAGAGGACCCTGTACTCACAAGACAACCGAGGGAGGAGCTCAAATATAACAGGATCGGAAACAGGGCACTTGGCATAGTGAGTGACATCAGTTCCACCCACACTCCGACAGCCAAAGAGGCACCTCGCGGGACCCTGGTGGTACCTACGCGTCGTGCTCCACGCATTAAACATCGAGTTTACAAGACTAACATGATAAAACTCAGAACATGATTACCAATCCTATCGAACCAGATCATCAACACCGTCCTCTTATCCTGGCTCACTTCGTCCTTACTTACCTCCGTATCCATACAACACAGGCAGCAGTCCCAGGGCATGATACATGGACCAGGATGTTGTTCAACACCTCGGCCTGGAATCCTTTCTTGTCAGGGTCCTCTTGCGTCCTCGGGAGCTGGTCAAGCAGACGTTACACTCGATCCATCTGGTACAACGAGAATTGCTGGAAGACTGGGTTGAGATAGCGGGGAACCAAGAAGTCATCTGAGTCAATGATATCATTCTACATCTGGACTAGCTTCGGACATATTTCGCTTGCGTGTGCAGCAGTCCTATACCACGACGCCATACACAGTTGCGTGAGCTGCGGTAGCTTCAGCTTGGTACCCAAACTCTCGAAATCGAAGAATGCCGCTCGGGGAACAGCGTGCCTCGGACAATTCACCAGCAACTGTTTTTTCCAGCACATCTGTTGGAGAAGGGGAGGGGAAGGGGAAACGGAAGAGGACGCGGGCAGCCGATGATCAACGTCCCTCAAAACTCACCTCAATGCAATGTCGAAATCCTCGCATGAGCGCACGCTCTGCGGCAACATGCCCAACGCGCACGCTGGAATGTGACACGCTGAGACAACCTAGCTGGGCTGCAGATATCTACGCCCACACAGCGGCCCACCGACCTGGGTACGTACGGCTTTACCACGCCACAAGAAACGAACTCGGCGTGCGTACCCCTTACCCGTGAAGACGGCGGGACCCGCACGGGTGCCCAACGCGAGTGGGGGGCGGCAAACGCCGGGGGTGAGGAGGAGGAGGAGGAGGAAGAGGAGGGGGAGGAGGGAAAAACAACTACAAGCTTGCAGAAAGCCTCGATGCCGAAGCAGAGGAGCGAATGCCAAGAGCGGCCGGCGCACAATACAGCAAACTGAAACAACACGCACATGGCGATAAATTTGATAATGAACTACCTTGAAACATGAATGCAACCTCATGCTCGCCACCCTGAGGCACGCAACCATGCCGGCCAGGGGCCAGCAAGAAATGCAAAGTCAGAAAGGGCCCGGCGACCGGCGAGCTCCACTGCCGAAACTCGGCGGAGGGCAGGCGCCGCTGTCCCTGCAACTGCCGACCTGCGTGCGGGGCGGACCAGCGCAGCGGGAGGTCGACCCCAGCCGCGCCCCATGAAACAAAAAGCAAAACATGCAGAGCATGAACCATGCATCGCATGGACACCACCAACTGGAGGCAATCGACTTCCAGACGGTAGAGAGAGATCGGCGGCTCAAACAACGGGGCAACGAACTGGGCGACGGGGATCGCGAGTAAGTCAACACCGTTTCGGCGAAGCCTAGCCCTGATCCTGGAAGCTCCCTGACCCTCATCACGAACTTAACCATGTGATCTTTCCAGCGCGTCTCATCCCCTCCACGGCCGAGGAAAACACCTAGATACTTACCATCGGTCCGGATACACATGCTCCCTAGATCAAACCCCATTTCGTCAAATATATTACGTACATACTGCTCAGGATAGTCTTCCATGGAGGCGGTGATCGCCTTCGTGGTATTCAGAAACACTGCAGCCAAACCACACTGGTTCATGATAACCAACAACACTGGCACACTTTCGAAGAGGTCGCGCGAGCCGTGCATTATGTCTTCAGCGAAGCAGCAGAAGCACGAACCTAGCGGAGAAAGAGCGCGTCAGAACACGAACCACAGGATCCAGAGCAAAGACGAACATGGAACCTGACGCTGGACATCCTTGCCTAATCCAGGACAGTATTTCGAATCCCGGGAAGAGGTATCCAGCAAGACAGACAGTCGTACGAATGCCCCGATACAGAAACCGCGAAGCACGGATGATGCTCGCAGGTAATCCCATCAGTTCAAGCACCCACCAGGTCCACCCATGATTCAAAGACGGGGAAGCTGCACGCACATCAAGCAGGATGCCGCCAGCGTCACGCTCGCCCGAGACGCAGTACCAGATTGCCAGTTTCGAGTTGGCCTCCAGCACGTTCTCGTTCAAATATCGACGGATCACAAAACCATGCTGAGGCTCGGCACACGAAATAGAAACTTGTTTTGCCAATGCCCAAATTTCCACCCACTGCGTATCTTATTATCCGTGTTCCCAAGACAAATCGGCCGAGTCTCAGACGGGCATTTCATCAACTCGCTGATGCACTCAGGGATTTGCCCCTTGGGAATAAATACCAGCCAAGCACTCCCTAAACGCGTCGTCGTCCGCCTCGCCCTCGAGGAGCTCCTTGTAGGCCTGGAAAATACACCCGAGCACCTACCTCCCCGCAGTTAGCGTAACAGCGGAAAAGAACCCCATCAGGCCCGGGAGCCGAGTCCCTGTACCACCGAAGCCCTTGGAGAAACTGGAGGTGGAGGAGGAGGAGGTGGAGGTGGAGGAGGAGGAGGAGGTGGAGGAGGAGGAGGAGCAAGAGGAGGGGCAGGGGAGAGAAGAGTGCAGAACATAGCATGTTGCGTGTTCAAGTGTGCGGGATGGGGGGGGGGGGGGACGACGGCTGAGGAGGATGAGGAGGGCCAATGTGGCGGGAGCCTGGCGCGAGGGATGGAGGGAGGGAAGGAGGACGGGGAGCACGAAGACCGGGAGGGGAGGTGGGCTCCGCGGGCAGCCCCCCCCCGGGCCGCGAGCGCCTCATCATAAGGGATCTCCGCCTCCGAGAACGGCTCCGCCGCGCCCTGTGACGGGAAGCGGGGTCCGCAAGGCGCCTGAATGCATGAGATGCTGCCGGCAACTGTTGGATAGCGTTTCGCCCCGGCGGCCCCGGCGACACGCTGTGCCTTGCGAGTGGAAAGCGTGCTGCTCCGCCTCCTCCTCCTCCTCCTCCTCGTCCTCCTCCTCCTCCTCCTCCTCCTCCTCCTCCTCCTTCCCCCCCTCCTCCTCGAGGAGGTGCAGAAGCATTCGAAGCAGAAGAAGCCCCACACACACACACACACACACACACAAAGCTCGGAAACGCTCGGCACGTGGACGCCTCGGGACCGCGAAGTGGATAGCGTGTCGCAGCGAGGCGCGGTGGACCAGAACCGGCAGAACGACACGCTATCCAAACGCTCCCGACCGTAAGCTCGTGGGTAGATGCATCTCACAAGAGTTCGAAAGGGTCCCTGTAGAGACCTATCGGAGCACAAGGAGGAGGACGAGGAGATACGAGGAGATACGAGGAGATACGCAGAGGGAGAAGTATAACACAAGCAACCACAAGTACTTCGCGTTCCCCACAGCCATGGACCGTGGACCATGGAATGGTGGCTCCGCAGAGAGCGTAGGAGGATGCCGCGCACGGGAATTCCGGCGGCCATGCCCAAGTGCGTCCGCCCACCGAGTGAATCGGGGCACCATCCATGTCGTGGGTGTCGCAGGCGGGCTGTGATGCACGCTGACGCAAGCACCGCCTGGCTCGCGGTGGCCGAACTCGGCAACACGACGATCACGGGGGTAGACAAGCGCGTTCCACTACTCGCAAAGTAGCCACTCGCAAATGGCATGGATCCACCGCGGTGGATAAAATACTGCGTCGAGGCGAAGAAATATGTTTCGAGCATTTGCGAGTAGGCACTTTGCGAATGGAGGAGCACGCTCGATGAGAGGGGTGCGACTCGGCGCTGTGCCTCCTCCGCGATCGCGCATCAGATGCCGGAGGCCATCGTGTGCAAGCGTGAACGGTGCTCCGCACGTGCGGCCTTCGGAGGGGCGAAGGCGGGGATTTCGCGGGGGTCCAGCCCCGTCAGGGGAACAAATCTGGCAGAAAACATTTGACGCCCGAAATGGGTACGGGAAAAATAGGTACGATACCCAACGATGAATGTTGTCCCAAACCCACAGCGGCCGCTGTTGGGCAAGCGGCTTTCTGCCTCAAGTGGACACATTCCGCGGCAACACCGACAGCGAGTCCTGCTCAAAATGAATAGGAACTGCTGCCGGTCGTTGTGCCCAATCTCTCTGTACCCATCTCGACCATCCCGAAAAACGACGCGAGGCCCCGAAGCACCGGCCAGAGCAGCGTCCACCGGCTGTTTCGGCCGGCGCCCACGTGCGCCCGGCTCAGCAAGCGCCGCCTAGCCCGTTTTCTGCCTGCCCGCCCGCCCCGCCGGCCCTGGCCTCCCGCCTGGGCGTTCGTCGTCGTCTGCTTGCTTCTCCCCTCTTCGCCCCCTTCCGCCGGACCGCGCTGCCTGCCCGGAATCACGAGGCGGGCTGCTGATCCCCAGCCACATTGGCCTGTAGATGTCTTGATTTGTTCCATCACCACTCTGAGCCCAGGCCCCCTGGAACCTTCGAAGTAGGGGGCAAGCGCGCGGTCGAACGCGGCGCGGTGCTCTCCGATGGCTAATTCTAATTCTAATTCTATCTGAAGCGTCATCCTCCACTAGGGAGGTCGCTAAAACACCAAATCACACATCAGGGAAACGGGTGCCCGACTTCGGGGGGAGCCCGCGGGCGATCCTCGAAAGAACCGCCTTCCCAGTGACAGAGGGCCGACCACAGGCCCTGCTCAGGATGCGAGGGGGGTTCACTGTGCAAAAACCTCCACAAACCTCGCAAAACAGAACTCCACGTAACACAGCCAACTGGTGGGTGGGTGAGCAAAACTCAGACATTGGGTGGTCCAGGGGTGTTCCACACCCCTGAACAGCAGAAAGATCATCAGGAGGCGGATCTTCCACCCCTGAGCTCGGTGCGATACGAGGAGGAAGACACTGAATCCGCTGCTGCAGTTCGCAGCGAGGCTTGCATGGATCGGGCCAGAAATCCGCCAGCTTCCCTTTCAAAGGAAAGCCCCGCGCACACCGAGAACACTTGAGAGACGCTGAACGTGCCTCAGGAGAATGACCACTGTCACGCAAGCGACACAGCCTCACAGAAAAACTGGTCTGCTGCCCGCGCTGCCGCCTAGGAACTCTCTCCGAGGTCTCACGATCACCCGAGAAAAGCACTTCACGCTGGACCGCCAACAACCGCGAAACCACATCGAACGCGAGTTTGTCGGCCCGTCGGGTTCGGTCCACTAAATCCTCGGGGATCTGGGCCCTGTCAGCAGCAGCATCGGCAAAGAAATCAGCAGCCTGGTTCAAATAGACTTCAACGTCACTCATAAACATATTTTGGCGTTGGGCCTGGGAAGAATGAGATTTCGTCCATAACACTTGGATCGATCCCCCTCTAGCACTCAAAACATCATGAAACTGCACCCACAGATCCAACATAGACGACCCACGTTTGTCACGCAATGGGCGACGCAACCCTTGAACAACACGCAAATAATCACAGTGCACGCGACAGTGCCCCGTAGTCCGACGAGCAAGCATGATAAGAGCGCACAACTCTGCACGAGGAGAGGGCTGCTTCTTGGTAGGGAGGGTGCCCATGAGGAGGGAGTCGAAGAGGCCAGATGGACCTAGGTGGACGCACGCCCAGCCACAGCGGCGAAGCCGCCAGTCCTTAGTGAACTTCCCCCCAGATCCATCAATTCCCCACACTCCTCCATCGATCACCCCTCCTCCGATCAGTCGGCCCCACTCCCACACCTGCAAAGCAGGCGGAGGCAAGTGGCCGCACGTGAGAGCCTTCGGGACCAAGCCCCGAAACCACAAACAGGACAGCTCAGGCTCCGCTAAAACACGATCGCGCAAACAATCGGTGCGATCCAAGACCGCATCAGGCACAAGCCGATTGCAAGAGCAATCCCAAAAGCGATGGAACGGGGTCCCAGCTGAGGCGCCGCAACGCGCACAGGTTCCACCTGAACTCGAGCGGTATCCCGCACCGTAAATTCTGGACTCCGTCCAGTAGCCTCCAGAGACAAGATTGCGTACCATTCCTGCAGCCTCCGCCTCGCCGTTCCTTTCCTGATGACGTAACATACGATACAACACAGTAGAATCAACTCCTCCTTCCACCCCAGTGCCCATATAATGACCCGCTGCAGCTTGCCAAGAAAGAGACTGGCATGCATCAAATAAGAGGTCCCACAGATGGGCAGGGAAATCTGCATCAGTCACCCGCAACGTAACTGTACCAACGCGCCAGCAGACTGGAGAAACAGGATCCCATCGCAAATCAAGTAGCACCGCTAGCGTGGCCGCGATCGGACCTCGCACGACTTGCCAACGGTACTGAGTGCACTCGAATTTGGCCAACACCTCTTCCATACTCGGGCCACACGCATACGTTGTTTATGTTCCATCACACTCCACGCTGACGCAAAGGCATTAAGTTGTTCGTACCGTAACCTAAACTGGGGGTCATCCTTGGCAGGGCTAACAAGACTCAAGACAGTAGTCGTACAGGCCCCAGGGCTCCACCAACCAGAACACGTAGCAGCCTGACCCCTCATGCTTTGGACCTGCGACGGCGAAAGACCCAAAACTTCATGGCCCCAGGAACCAACCGCCAACACAGCAGGCTTATAGAGCTTCCTAGCTCTGCCGACTAAACGGGTCAGGCATCTCACTTTCGCAGCCTTCTTAAAAGCAACAGCACGTCGCTGTCTCAACTTACTCACACAACGACGACGCCCTGCGGTAGTCATGACCCCCAGGTCGCGCACCGCTTCCCCTACTCGAATAGGGAGCTGTGCAGCGCGGAAACAGCCCTCAAGATGCCCTTGCAAAGCTCGATCTGAGCACACGAACGTGCTCTTACTGGAAATAGTAGTGCCAGCTTGCTCAAGCTGATGACACAAATGAACTGCGGCTGGCACGATGCACGAGACAATCTCACTCCAAGAGCCCTGCTGCGTCTGGGTAATGTCATCGACGTACGCCAGAGTGACCGCAGGGAAATACTGGGCGTGTGCAAAATCCAAGAGATCATACAGGTAGATTTTAACCCAAGGCATAGATTGCACACGCCCAGGAAGCACCCCACGACCAGTAGGCATCACGTCGGACACGAAGCCGTTGACCTCCAAAATACGCGGGGCCCCGTGCATCAACACACCTAAATACAACAAGTGAACAGGATAAGACATCTGCAAGGCGAATCCAGCCAGGCGAAGAGGGTCCACGGTGTCAAAGAACTTACTGAGGCCCCAATACAGCCCAACCGAAAGCTCCCCAAGATATCTAGCAGCCTCGTGACCGATCTCTCTCAACAACGCGGCCTGCAACGCCGAAGAGCCCCTAACCGCAGTGTCCCAATAGTTTTCACGCTCCCTAGACCACTCATCAATGTCACGGCCTCGCGCACGACAATAGATCCGATGCAGCGACGGGCATTTGCAAACAGGCCGCTCCGCATCAGCCGCCTTAGGAAGCAGAGCAATGATGCCCATCATGACCTGCGTGGGCCACATCATACGAGCTTCACACTGATTAAGGAGATCCGCGTAGGCCCCAACAGCAGCCCCAGGGAGAGAAGCCAGAATACGCGGAGGCCAACAGTCAATGCCCACCGCAGTGTCAGCCTTCAACATCCGCGCAGCTCTGGACACCGCACAGGGGGTCAAGGGCTCGAGGTCGCCGACGGCCGCCAGAACCATACGGCGAACAACATCCAAAACTCCCGAGAGGGCCTCGCGTTGCTCCCAAGGAGCCGTCCAAAAGCCGCTCCAAACATCCTGCCGATATTGCATCATTTCCTCGGGTAATTGCTTCACCTCCGAGGGGGTAACCAGATGCTCGAGATCAGCCCCGTGATCATATTTGAGCCAAGAGTGAACCCTCTTGGCACCACGCGGCAAGGCCTTAAGAAGCCACTGCTCCATCTTATCCTTAGACAGAGCGCGAGCGTCATTCCAAGCCTGGCCGACCGCATGAGCGACCGCATCACTGAGAAGATTAAGCCCATCGACCGACGACGGGACGGCGGCCAGCTGAGCTATCCACCACTCGACAGGATGCACGAGCCCAGGGAGGCAATGCGCATGGACTTGACCCGACAATACATGCAATACACGACCAGCCCAATGCATAGTATCCCAAGACTTCCGAGCCTTACACAAGCGAAACTCCCACAGAGTCTGAGAAACATGAGCCCAGAAACACAGCGTAGGGGACTGGAAACTCTGCCCACAGAAACCTCTACGCCCAATCTTGGCACGTCGAAAGCTCGGGTAACCTCCACGCACACTACTCTCGCAAGGCAGCGACTGCATCGCACAGGCACGAAAAAGAAACATCAATTCAGTAGCTCGGCTCCAAATACGGTACTGGCAAGAAAGGGCAGGAGAAAGATGATCATGAACATGGGGTAAGAAATTATCTTCAAAATAATACGGAACCTCCAAGTCACCATCGTCTGACACCTGCGTCAACAAAACCTCCCAGGGTAAATCAGGACCGGCACAATCAGGAAAGGGAGGAGGTTTAACACGTTTCCACAACGACTGTTCAACAGCCCCATGGTCCAAGGAAACCTTCAAACAAGCATGTGTCTTGAATGGTGACGGGGTATACTTAGAAACTCGCACGTAGCTGGCAATATCTTCCGAGGCGACCACGTAATCGATCAGGGAGCCGCGCCCCTGCGTGCAGGTGAACTCCACCAGCGACGGGGCAAGCACTCGCCCTCTCGCAAGTCGCGGGAAGCCCGAGAGATCGAGATCACCAGCCGAGACATTGAAATCGCCCATCAAGATCCATGGAACCGACAACGTCCCAAGAAACTCCGAGACTCCTCGCAATCGATTCACATTCTCTCCACAGACTCCCAGGCCCGACACCAAATAAATGACGCCCACAGCGATCACCGCTTTCTTAGTGCGTAACTCAAGAAACATCCAATGGCTTCCAGAGCCGTGGTCCTGCACAGGACCGTCTAACTGCCAAAAACGTTGAAACGACAATCCCCGAGACACCACGGCCCCCGCCCCACCGTGGGTTCCACCCCCTGGGGAGGGCGTGGCAGGAATGAAATGGGGTCGCCATTTCAGCTGGTGCGCCCGCCTCTTCGCCAGTCTCACCCGATCGCAATTCAGGTGATGCTCGGCAAAGAAGAAACCGTCACAACTGGTTCGCACGCTGGCGGCGAACGAAACAGCGACCTCGTTCCACGACGTGATATTGCAGAAAAGGAAGTCGATACTGGTGGCCGCCTCGTGGCCACCAGTGTGCCTGTTAAAAACGAGCTTGCGTAGCAGGGGCCTCACCGTCCGCAGCCGCCGCCGCCTCGCGTAGTCCTTCGTCGACACCCTCAGCAGGGACTGGGACTTGGGCCACGCCGCCAGCAGGGACTGCTTGCTGAAGCACTCTGCCGAAACTCGATGCGGTGTCCTCACGGATAGTACGTAGCCGCTTGACCGCTTTGCAATTGGCGGACTTGACCAGGAGCTTCTCCATGCGATCTTGCTGTGTAGCTTCAAGGGGCCCTTCACGTGCACGCTTGCGAAGAGACTCCAACTCATCGCGCTGAGCGTCACCATACTCTGAAGCCATCTCGGAGTCGGCGTCATCCTCCTTGACCGCGTTGACGTAGATCCGTTGGAGCTCCTGCCAGAACTCGAGCCGCTGACGATGCTCCGCACACCAGCGCGCCAGACCCTCTTCATCAAGCTGAGCCAGATTGGGAGGATGGAGCACCGCCTGCGGAGCGCCCGCGCCAGCCGCCGCGCCACCGCCCGCAGCAGCGGCATGAGCCCCCACGGGGGCAGCAGGCGCAGCACCTCCTCGCGCGTCGCCACCTGCGACAGGAGGAGCGCCCGACGCGCCGCCAGCACCACCGCCAGGAGCCGCCCCAGCGCCGCCAGCAGCACCAGCGCCACGCGCCGCGCCAGCCGCCATGGCCGCCTGCGCCTCGTACAGAGCGCGGGCGGCCTCTGCACGAACTCGGTCTTCTTCCTCGCGCTGTAGGCGTCGGAAGTCGGCCTCCACGAAGCCGTCCTTCGCCACCGTAGCCTCGCGAAGCAGGATCTGCTTGGCTTGCAGCACCTGCAACGCCTCCCGATGCTGAGCCTCAGCAGCGTGAAGAGCTTCACGATGGCGAACCACTGCCGCCAGCCGAGCTTCCACGTCGCCTTGAGCAATACGTTCAGCCCGTGACTGCACCTCGACCTCCTTCGCCAAGGCAGTACGCTTCGCAGCCACGAGCTTCTCCATCTCATTCTCTGTGGCAGGCTCAGGCGGGGGAGCCGGTGGCACACGCGGTACCGCCGCGGCCGCCGCGCCAAGCTCCCCGAGCGCCCCTGCCAAGTGCGGGTACTTGGCCGCCAGCCACTCAAGATCACCAGCAGCATCACGGCCACCAGCGTCCTGAGCCACAGGTTCCCCTGAGTCGAGGTAGCGGCCACCACACTTGCTGCAACTCCAGTTGCCGTACTTGTCGAACTCCCAGTGCCCGCAGGCACCGCAGACGGAGTAGGTATCCCGACGCTGGGCATCACGACCCCATGCGCCGCCGTAGACTCTCTTGCGGCCTCCGCGCCCTTGGTGCCAGGGGGCACGCGACCGCCACGACATGAACAGCCAGCGGGGGCCCAACTCCCGCAGTGAAGGCCAGCAAACAAGCTCACTAGATATGAAATGCTCGGCAGAGCAGGCCTGGTGGCAGGGCAGCACACCAGGGAACACACGCCAAAAACACCCGAGCCTGCCGCACGGCTGCGGACAAGCTCGAAGCCTCGCGGCAAGGTTTCGAACTTGAGCCAAATGGCTACGGAGGTGCTCTCCGATGGCCTCCTCGACCGGTGTCTGTCCGATCTGGGCGCCCACGCGGCTCCCGTCGGGCGCCAAGCGGCGGGACGAGTGCGGGGCGCCCCGCCTGGCGCCCATCCTCCTCCTCCTCCTCCTCCTCCTCCTCCTCCTCCTCCTCCCTCCTCCTCCTCCTCCTCTCCTCCTCCTCCCCTCCTCCCTCCCCCTCCTCTCCCCCTCCTCCTCCTCCTCCTCCCTCCTCCTCCTCCTCCTCCTCCTCCTCCTCCTCTCCTCCCTCCTCCTCCTCTCCTCCCTCCTCCTCTCCTCCCCTCCTCCCCCTCCTCCTCCCCCTCTCCTCTCCTCCCCCGCCGCCTTGGGCGCGCGCAAGTGTGCGAGGGCGCGCCCCACCACCCCCGGGACCCGAGCAGAGCCAGGCAAGCTGCGGACCTGCTTCCTCTCTCTCTCTCTCTCTCTGCCTGCTCCCTTCGCCCTCGCTGCTGCCTGAATGGCATGTTTCCCACCCACCCCTCTCTCTCTGGCACGTTCTCTGCATGCTTTCATATACTCATTTCTGTATGTTTCGCTCTCTCTCTCTCTCTCCCTTTTCTGCTTGTCCTCCACCTCCACCTCCTCTTCCCCGTCGTCTTCCTCATCCTCACCCCGATCCTCCTGACCGTCATCCTGCTTCCCGTCCGCCTTGCACCAGGCTCCTGCTGCTGCTGCTGCTGCTCCTACGTCCTCCTCGTCCTCCTCCTCCTCCTCCTCCTCCTCCTCCTCCTCCTCCCTCCCTCCTCCTCCTCTCTCTCTTGCAACTGCTGACGCGTCACCCACAAGGCGCGCCCCGCGCCCGCCGCGGATGGCCGCGGACGGGGCCGGGGAGGGCCCACCATTCCCATTCCCTCCTCCTCCTCCTCCTCCTTCTCCTCCTCCTCCGTCCACGTCCTCCTCCACGTCCTCCTCCTCCTCCTCCTCCTCCTCCTCCTCCTCCTCCTCCTCCTCCCTCCACGTCCTCCTCCTCGCCCTCCTCCACATCCTCCTCCTCCTCCCTCCACGTCATCCTCCACCTCCTCCTCCTCCTGCCCCCCCCTCCCTCGCTTCCTCCCTCCAAGACTTCCGGGCACGCCTCGTCGCGCTTCGCCCTGGGGCGCAGCATGCCTATCAGGTTCAGCGCCCCGGAGAGCGGAGACGCCGACGGCGGGCGCGGCGTCGTTGTCGGCCGTGCCGCCGCCTTTGACTTCGGCGCGGCGGCGGCCGCCGACGGCCAGAGCACAGCGGGCGCCTGGCGTAGGGGGCAGTGCGGGTGGATGGGCGGGGAGGGGCGGGGAGGAGGGGGAGGGCGGATGGCAGTGGGGGGGAGCGCGGAGGGACGGAGGGAAGAGTACAGGGGCCGATGGGATTTGCGCGCTGCTTGTGCTCTGTGCCGCGTGCCGCGCGTGCGGCGCTTTGCGCCAGGCCTTGCTTGTCGAGTGTTGGTTATGCTTGTGCGTGAGAGGAACATCTGTGGCTTGTGCTGTGTATTATGTGTGCTGCGTGATGTGACTCATGTGCTGTGGGTTGTGAGCTTGCGTCATGAGGGCCATCTTGAGTACTCCCTGGGCCGTCTGGAGGGCTTCTGGGAGCATTCTCCCACCAGCCTTCTGGGCGACAGGTGGTCTTATGATGCCTTTCTTTTCTCTTCCACAACGCCTTCTTCCCCTTCGGGGAGGGGTTTACCACTGTTCCTTACTAATGTATACCCCCTCCCCCCGGCGACCGGGGACCAAACCAGCACCATGCCGACGCCATGCCGACACCATGCCGACCCGCCCCCCACCATCCCTGTCAAAACGCAGTGCAAAGTACACTTTGAGGCAAAGTCTTGAGTCATGTGTGTGAGGCCCGCGAGCACTTTGCATTGCTTTTGACAAGGACGGCGGGGGTGTCAGCATATTCCCTGCTGCGCGCAGGGCTACCATCCCTGACACAAAACAATACAACATGCACCTCGCAACTAAATATGGGTCATGCGCGGCCATCCCGCGATCACTGTCAAGTGGTTTTGACAGGGACAGCGAGAGTGGTGGCGCGTGGCCTGCTGAGCGCAGGCCCACCAGACACAATGATGGGCATCGGTTTTCGAGAAGGATGGTGGGGGCCAACATGTTTACCGATGTGTGCTGTCGCGTGCGCAGGCGCACCTGACGCACTCTGCACGTGCCCCGAAACCGGCGTACCTGGCGCGGCTGGAGTGTGCGGCACACCTGGCGCACTCGGAACACGTGGCGCATCTGGCGCACCAGGCGTGCCTGGCACGCTCGAGCTCCAGGGGTGCCTGGCGCGCGTGGCGCCCCTGGCACGCGTGCCGCACCTCGCCCACGCGTCGCGCACCTGGGGTTGGCTTTGGTTCCCAGTAGCTGTCAATCCAACGACGACCGCTGAACATGCTCAGGCTCGAGTGTTACTTGTGTATAGGGAGGACGGGTGGGAGTGAGCTAGACGGCTTGCGGGCGGGTGGGTAGCTTGATCACTGTTCCCTATGAATAAACACCCCCTCCCCCAGGCGACTGGGGGCCAACCAGGGACCATGACGACCCCCCCCATAATCCCTTGCAAAAAACAATACAAAACACACTCTGCCTCCAAATTCGGTTCATGCGCAGCCAACCCGATGCGCCCCCCCCCCAATCATCCCTGTCACAAAACAATATAGAGTACACTTGGCGGAGGCGGCGGCGGCGGCGGCGGCGGCGGCGGCGGCGGCGGCTGCGGCGGCTGCGGCGGCGGCGGCGGCGGCGGCGGTGGCGGCGGTGGCGGCGGCGGCGGCGGCGGTAGCGGCAGCGGCTGCGGCGGCGGCGGCGGCGGCGGTGGCGGCGGCGGATTGGCCCCCAGTAGCTACCCATCCAAAGACGACTGCTGAATATGCTGAGGCTCGGGCCAGACTCGGGTGCTACGTATATGTTGGGAGGGCGGGTGGGAGTGAGCGAGACGGCTTGCGGGCGGGGGGGGGTCTTGACCCCTCCCTCTACCCCCTCCCCTGGACCTGGACAGGAGGGCTCGCAAGGGGTTGGAGCGTGCAAGATGGCCCACGATGTCTCCAAAAGGGCATCAGAGAGCGCAAGATAGTCTCCAAGATCGCTCAATATAGCCCAGCAAGGCCAAAGATAACTAACAACATGCATGCCTCCAAGCGTCCCCAAGAAGGCCACGCGACGGATCCAAATGCTTTCGGCGACCCCTCAGGACCTCCCCGATAAGCCACACTCCTTCAACACCTAAGGAACACCAATGCGTTTCGCCGTAAGATGGCCCTAAGATGGCCCAAGAGAGCTCCAAAAAGATCTTAAAAGGCCCAAGACTGCCCCAAGAGAGCCCAAGATCGCCACACGAGGGCCCCCAGAGCGCCCCAAGAGGCTATATCGATGGCCCCAGGGGGGGGGAGGTAAATCGATGACCCCCCCTCCTTGGAGCGATGGTCTCCAAGATGGCCCCAGGAGGCGCGCCAGAGCTCCCAAGGGGGCCCCAAGAGAGCCCCAAGGGGACCCCATGAGGGCACCAAGGCGCCCCAAAAGAGCCCCAAGAGGACCCAAAGACCCCCCAAAGAGCCCCAAGAGGGCCCCGAGATGCCCCAAAAGAGCTCAAAGAGGACCCCGATATCCCCAATACAGCCCCGTAGCTCCACGAAGGCCTCCGATGCTCCCAAATAGCCTCCAAGATGGCTCAACACCCTCCTTCCTCTCCTCTCCTTGCACGCTCTGTTTCACTATAGGTGCCTCTTCTCTCAAATCCCCGTCAGATCCCATGGGCAGGGCTCCTGAATGGGCTGGTGGGGATGCGCGAAGCGCAGACAGTTGGTCGCTCTCGTGGGACGAGCGCGTTGGGTGTGCTCGAGCTGTCGTGATAACTGGCTTGAAGTATTATTGGGCCAGCTCGAGAGATCATGGGGGCGCTGTTGAGTGTTCTTGTGGGCGTGTCGGAGGCATCTTGGGGCACTCTTCGGGCCCTCTGGAGCGCCTCTGAGGCTCGTTTGGGCAGTTCGGGTGGTTTCAAGAAGATGTTGTTTTAGAGTCACCTTCCGAAGTCATTGTTGGGAGGATGACTCTAGCCAAGCTGCTGTTTGGAGGCATTCAGACACCTCGTCCGAAGTCACGCTGTGGAAGACGTCCCGAGCGAACCACCCAACAAGGAAGACCCTGAAAGCGATATACAGTTCACGATCCCGAACCAAAAGTCTCTCGTGAACTTGGACTGTATGTATCGTGCCATCAGCTTCAGTTGCGCCCTCTTGCTCCGAGAAGGCGCTTCCTTTCATATCCGCCACCGTGCCTTCGGCATGTTGGGACGTGCCAGAGTTGTTGTCTGATGCCTGGCAATGTTTCTGCAGTGTGTCGCTGGGCCGGCTCCCTTGATCCGCGCGGTCCTTGGTCTTGCACGCCGCCAGGGAGACAGATTCTGGACGAACACCGCAGGGCTCGTGAACACCGGAGGCCCTGCAAACACCACGTCGTGCGCCCTCTCGGGGAGCCGGCCGCCGTGGCAGCTCGGCCCTGCGCCGGCGTGCCAAGCACTCTGGCGAGTGCCGCGCCGACCGAACCGACCAATCAGCCAGTCGGTAAACACGACAGTCTCGCTTAAGACAGTCTCGCAGTGCGGGCGCGAGGTTGACGGAGAGGGCACGCCGCTTGCAATGGTACTCCGTTGCGGCGACGACGACGGGGGCAGAGACCCAGGCGACCAACCAATCTGGTCAAACAACCAAAAAGATCGGCGCAATGGCTTGCTGCTTCCTCGCAACCTGGGCGCCAAGGCAGGGGGCAATGCGTGTACCTGGTGATGGCAAATGGCAAGGCAGGGGTCGGGAGGAGGGCACGAGAGCCCAGAATCGAATCGATTCGTCGGATCGGCGATCGGGATGGGTCGTAACGGCGGAAATCGGCGGTCGAGCCGGGAGAAGTCGAATCGGCGGAAATCGGCAGTCTATTAAGCCTCCGTAAAGAGGTCGGAATCCAAATCGGAATCGGAAGTCGAATCGAGTCGGAATCGGAAGCCATCGAAATCGAATCGAATCGGAGGAATCGAAACGAGCCCTCCAGGGGTGGCGAGGAGGGAGGGCGGGAAAAGGGAGGAATCGGGAAGAGGAGGGGCAGCAGAAATGGCCCCCCCCCCCTCAACGCAGGAGGTGCAGTGTGGGGGGCCTCCCGCCCCCGCCGGCCACCGAGGCCTGGCCCGGGCACCTCCGACCTGGGCTCTCGGAGCGCTGTCGGCGCCACCGCGGGGGAGGCGGCGGGAAGGGAACCACGGGGCGCCATCCCTCGGGGACGCGCTCTGGATCGCCCTGCCGTGCGCCTCGCACGCTGCCGAGGCGGAGCCCGCCGAGGCGGGCGCCAGACTCACAGGAGACTTGAAGGGGCCCACAAACACGCAAACAAATACACACAAATACAAATATTCCCAGTCTTTTTCCATATTTTCTGGGTTTCTGTCTTCGCCCCCACTTCCCATATTTTCCAATATTTTCTGGCGAATCGACGATTAATTGTGTCTGTGTGTGTTTTTTTTCCCTCCTGAAGACTCCCGGCATGCTGAGGAGCGGCTCCGGCAGGACCACCGGCCGCGCCCCAGCGCCTGCGGCGCCCGCCGAGCCAGCGGCGCCACGGCGCCGCGCGGCGCTCCCAGGCGCTTCCAGGCGCTCCGTCCCATGCGCTCCCAAGCGCTCCTATGCGCTCCTGGCGCTCCTAAGCGCTCGCCGCAGCACCCATACTCCGACAAAAAGAGGGGGGAGGCGGGGCAGAGAGGGAGGGCGCGTGGAAAGAGAGAGAGAGAGAGAGGAGAGAGATAGAGGGGGAGGGACGACGCTGCAGCGCACCGCCCGCGTGGCTGCAGCACCACGCGGGCTGGAGGAACGTCCGATGCACTTGGAGCGCATCACGGACCACCCCGCCGCAGGCGAGGCCTGGCGGACGGAACTGTTACTAAATGCAGTGCGCCCTGGCGACCACGAACGGCAAACCAAATCTGTGCGGTAACAAAAGTGTGGAGGAGCAACAGAGAACAGAGGGGAAAAAGGAGGACCCGAGCAACAAGCGGCAGAGCGCCACAGAGAGGGGGGAGGGAGAGAGTCAGAAAGGCATGGGTTGCACCCGGAGGTAGAACCTCTCAAGAACGACATGCTGCACAAGCGATGACAGGAATAATGATTCGACGTGGGAGATCCCCTGATGTATATCGGTTAAATGTTCCTCCTCCTCCTGACCCTCGTCATCCACGCTTAGTGTCATTGGCCAAGCAGCGCGTAAGTCTCCTGAAGATCTCTGTCTACGATTGTCGTACAGTGAGCGGGTCTGTAGGAAACTGGGTGGGCCGAGACAACCTCACAATATGAGCGCGACCGCGCCCGTAATGTGCCCCCTGGCCGACCCCCTACTGGTGTCTCGAGATGCCACATCACGACGACCACGCGACCCTGACTAATACTACAGGGCAATTTTTAATACATCGGATCTTTTCTAAATATAGGATTTCTGATATATGATTAATTTAGGAATGAATTTATGAATGAACTCATCGTTGCTTTTAATACTAAATCCCTGCATTTCTAATACATGATCCGCACGCGGAGCATGTATTAAAAACGGCACTGAAATCACAAACAAGTTATCTGAACCAGCATTTCGCTTGAGGCATCCCCACAAGCTGGGCGCCAACGGGCGCGTGCCCTCCCCGCTACTACACCGCAGTGATCACGCCGCCTTGGAAAGCGACACGTCTGCCCCTTCGAGCGCCAACGCTTCGCGCGAGGTATCCTCACACAGTGGGCCCTGAAATCCAGGTGTCCTGCCCCCTGGCGGCTGACCCCTGCGGTGCCCAAGTCGTATGTCTGCTGCGTCGTCGCGGCGACTGCGCAGCCCCGAGAATCGGGCCGGGCGAAAGGGGGGGATAGCAAAGGGGGGGTTTGAGAAGCAGCTCACGGAGCTGATTTTCCCAGCGCCTCCCGGCGCCGGGAGGCGCTCACGTATCGAAGAATGGGCCCGGCGGCGGGGCCGAAACCAGTTGCATGCAGCAGATTTCGTAACCCCTCCTTTCCCTATCCCCCCCTTTCGTTCGGCCCGAGAAAAGCGACGCGTCTGCATTCCCCAATCCAGCGCTTCAATCGAGACATCCCCACAGTCTGGGCGCGAACGCGCCCGTGAGGTGCCTCCCTGGCGCCTCCACCCTGGGGTGCCAAGTCTGATGACTGCTACACTTAAGTCGGGCCTGTCCCCCTACAGGGGGATTTTGGACGACAAATTAAGAATAGTCGAAAAATGCCTTCTGATACGGGAGAAAAAACCAAATTAGGGCTATAGGGCTAAGGGGGCTATAGGGCTATAGGGCTATAGAGCTATAGGGCTATAGAGTTGTGGGGCTATAGGGCTATAGGGCTATTGGGCTATAGGGCACCCCCTGGCACCCCCAAGCACCCCCCTGCACGCCCGGGCACCCAGGCACCCAGGCACCCAGGCACCCGGGCACCCCCGGGCACGCCCAGGCACCCGGGCACCCGGGCACCTGGGCACCCCCGGGCACCCGGGCGTGTGGCGAAAATTGGCGGCAAACCTACCCTAACCATATAAATCCGCTCGGACCCCTACAGAGGCAAGCTCTGATTGCGGAAGAATATACAAAAAATGTTGCTTTCATATTATTTAAAAAATCGTCCCCAGACTATGTTTTTACTATTTTTGAATATTCCTCCTGTAGAGGGACAGGCCCGACTTAATGCTACACCGCGATCGCCACGGCCTGAAAGATGCATACGCCTGCCTTCCAAAAAGCTGTTAGCTTGACACGTCCCCACAGTCTTGGCGCCAGCGGGCAAGTGTCCTACACCACGTCGCCCCCCGTCGCTCTCTGGGGTGCCCAAGAGCTTCTGCGTGGCGGCCCCGAACAAAAATCCAGCCACCTCCGAGAAGCCAGCGCCTCGCGTGAGGTCCCTCCCACACGCTGGGCGCCAACGGGCAAGTGTCCTACCCCGTGGCCGTTCCAAGTGCTACGATTGCTGCATCGCGCGCACCACGCGGCCCTGACAACACAACGCACCGGCATCCGAAAAACAAACAAACCGCTGGAGACATCCCCACAATCTGGGCACGAACCGGTAATTAAGTGATCTACCCCCTGGCGGTTCCTGGTGGTGTTGCCCAAGTGCTTTGCCTGCCACATCGCGATGGTCATGATCGTGGGGTGGAAAAGAATGGAGAAGGCGGGAGTGAGCAGGCAAATGCGCGACACGGATATCAAAAACACACGACGTAGAATACGGGGAATAATCTCCGCAACATCCTCCACGAGACGCACAACTCCCTGCACAAGGACCCATGATGTTGTGATTGAAACTCTCGTCAAACTTGCAATTGATTCACCCATGTCGTCCAGCCCCCATCTGAACCAAAAAAACAGTTGCGGCTCATACATAACCACGGTTCGCTCTCAAACTGGCTACGGCGTGCAGGTGACGCTCGCGGTGTGCTGCCCGCGGCGAGGCGAGAGCGCCGTTTGGACGGTCTTTCGGCCATTATAAAGAAGTCCGGCCGGATGAATAATGCTCCATCGTCGTCGTCGTCGCTACACGACGACCCCGGCCCTGGCGCTGGCGCTCGCCGTCGTCGGTGGCCACTAGGAGGGAGGGCCCTCCCCCCCCGATCCCCTCCCCCCGTTCGACCCCCCCCCCTGAGGGAGGGGACCCTGGTTCGACCTCCCCCTTGCAATTCACGCCCCCACCCCCCCGCCGGTTCGAACTCCCCCTTCGAAGTGTCCTCCGTGGTGATGAGCGCCACAACTGTTTTGTTTGTCAGATAGTGGCCGTCGCTGTTCCCAGGCCCCCGACGCCACGAGTTTTTCACGACGTCGACCCCCAAAGGTCTCGACCCAATTCCTGGGACCGATTTTTCATGATGAGTCGTTCTTTCAAGGTCCCAGGGCCCAGCGAGGGCCCCAGGAGGTCAAAAACATACCAAAACCGCCCGCTCACATTTGTTTGGAGCGTCCGATGTTGATTGAGCGCCTGCCCGCCGCCTGACCGCGGCCCCGCGCGCGCCCGCCCCCTCGTCGCGGCCGCAGCCCGACCGTGACCGCCTGCCGCTGGCGCTTCCGCCTGCGGCCGTAAAAAAAAAAAGTTGATTGAGCGCCGCCGCTGCTGCTGCAGGCAGACGCGCGACCGCACGCCTTGCCGCCGTCCGCCGCCTGGCCCGCGGCGCCCCTGCCCCCCTTGGCGCTGCCGCCGCGGGGGCCGCCCGCCGCGGGCGTCCTCGCACAGAGGCGCAGGGAGGGGAGGGGGGAGGAGGAGGAGGAGGAGGAGGAGGAGGGAGGAGAGGAGGAGGAGGAGGAGGAGGAGGAGGAGGAGGAGGAGGAGGAGGAGAGGAGGAGGAGGAGGAGGAGGAGGGGGAGGAGGAGGAGGAGGAGAGGAGGAGGAGGGAGGAGGAGGAGGAGGGAGGGAGGGAGAAGGAGGGCGGCGACGGGCGGGAGGGCCAGAAGCCTCCCAGATGGGGTCGGAGGATCGCGCCGCATCGCCGGCGATGCATCGGGGACGCCAGCGTGGAGAAGATCGGGCTCCGCATCGAGCCGCATCGCCGATGCATCGACGATACGGCGCGATCCTCCGACCCATCTACTCGGACCCCACCTAGGAGGCCTACAAGGGTGCGGCAGGGGACGGGGGGCAGGGGAGGAGCGGCAGGAAGGAAAGCAAACGAACGAGCATGGTGAGGCCCGGGGTTGCGCACAGACAGGCCCACCTAGGTCGTCCGGCTGGCCTCAACCAGGCCCCGACAGAACCGACCAAAACAGAGGCGACCACACCGAAGCTGAAATCGACCGAGCCTGCGAATGCTTTCCCAGTGGCCAGGGCATGCTCCTCCTCCTCCTCCTCTTCCTCCTCCTCCTCCTCCTCCTCATCCTCCTCCTCCTTCTCCTTCTCCTCCTCATGGTTCCCCTCATATTTATCATCCTCCCCATTCTCATGCTGCTTCATCATATTTATCGTCATCATCCGCGCCGCTTCTGGCGGCGCCCCTGGGGCGCTCTGCGCCCCAGGGTCGCAGCCGCACTGGGCTACTCGGGGGGGCCTGTGGAGGCCAGCTGGAACTACTCGGTGGGCCCGCTGAAGCCAGCTGGGAGTGCCTGGGGTGGCTGTCTACTTTTTAGTCAGCGGCCGCGGGCGAGCGCGCCGGCGGCGAGTCAGGTCAACGCGGGCTACGCAGAGACTAACTAGGCAAAAGAAACGCGGGAAAAACAAACAGAGCAACGCGCGAGGCGACGGCTAAGCGCGGCCGAGGCCTCAGGTGGGTGGCTGAGGGGACTGAGGCTGAGGGGAACTGCCAGTCGTGCACTGGGGTGGCTGTCTACGCGCAACCCGAAATTTGACCAAACTACCACCAGTGCGCACACGTGTCGAGGCTTACGGTCGGACCCAGGACGTCAGAACATCCTGCAAGGCTATGAGACCCTCCGCCGGCCAAACAGAAGAACACTCGAGAGCACCCTCCCAGAGGATGCACAAAAACATCCAAGCGTCGCGGCCCCGCGCAAGCGGAGAAAATCTTGAAACAACGATCGCGCGCGCGTCTAAGAACGCCCGGGCCCTCAGAGACCAGTGGGTCCCGCTGCAGCCGACGCCATCAGTCGTCCGGGCATGGATGGGGGTGGCAATGGTGGACGTGGCTACGGTGCAACATCCAACAAACACAAAGAACATGAGGGTACCCTCCCCGAACCGACCTCGATCTTATACCTCGTTCCGTCCGTACTCGAAGCCAAGCAAGCGAAGCCGTACATCCTCCTCGTTTTCCTCCTTCCCCCCCGTCGTCGCTATGTACTTCGCCTGCTTCCCCCTCGTTCTCCCAAGACGAGAAAGTTCTATCCACCATCCTCGACGTCACTCTGGGGGGCATTTCGTTTCATGCGCGACGCGCAGCATCTTGCAGAGCTCCATCTCGACAAACGTAATGAAAGCGAGACCCGTGCGCGGAGTAGCGACAGCGCGGCGGCCACTCCTCCCACGCACCTGGACATCTGAAGGCACCCCCTGCGCGCGACGGCGTCCAACAAACAGCCGGCACGCGCCCAGGAAACTCTGAGGAGGTTTCCAGACGCCCACGAAGACGCCCACAAGGCCTCACTTCGTCTGGGACTCGGCGGACTGGCGTGAGCCTCTTGCACCGATTGGAGCGAACTGGGGTACTTCCTGTCCCGCCCTGCTCTACTTTCCTCTGCTCCACCGTTTACCCTGCTCCGCCCTACTCCTCCCTGCCCCGCTCCACCCTGCCCTTTCCCCAGCCCTTACTCGAATCTACTCCCACTCTGCCACCTGGCTGCATCCCACATCCTACATGCCAGAAGACAATACAAGCTGAATTGGTGTCGCGTCAACAGTGTCATGCTGTCGCCCATGTCGCAAAATATGTGGCAATAGTGGGACGGGGCGCTCATCCCACGCGAATGGCCGACATGTCGTTCTCGCCCCGGGGCCGCGCTCACTGCGCGTGGAGAAGCGAAGTCCCGCTCGGGCGCGGCGCAACTTCTTCGGACGAGCATGTTGTTCTCGCATCGGCGCCGCGGGAATGTCGTGTGAAGGTGGCGTTCCGGCCTTGACGCGGCACCAATCTCTCTCTCACCAAGCTTGGGAGGCCCGCGCGAGTGGGCAACTGGGTACCCCCGCCCAGTTCCGTGCGCATTTGTGTCTGAAGTGGCGCGCCAGCGCGGGCGCGGCGCATGGCTCGTTCGCCGAATCGCATGAACGCGGCGACGGCAGCGGGGCCGAGCGATAGCGGGCGTGATGTCGACCTCGCCCAGACGCCGCGCAGATTGCACTTGAAAGTGGCAGTGCTGCGTCAGCGCGGCGCATGCTTCGTCTTCGCCATCGCCGCACCCACTATCTTCGCCCAGCCGTCGGAGGCGGGAGCGCGTGCGAACGCCTTCCATTTGCGATGTGGGAGCGCGCTCCAGTCCCGATATCAAGCTGTGCACCAATTGATTATATGTTGTGGAAGCGAGGATGTGAATAGGCGGGGCCCTCTGACCCGCACGACCTGGCTACCTTGACCCTTCCCTAAACTAGTACACGCTGCTCTCTACTCTACTGCATTCAGCTATGGTCTAGTCTACCCTGCTCTTCTCGATCCCTACACTATTTTATTATATTCTGCTCCGACACTACAATACGCTAAGGTACGTTCTCTCTTCTCTGTGTTACTATATTCTGCGCGCCTCTACTCTGCCAGCTACCCTGCTCTACGCTACCCTACTCTACTCTACCCTCGTCTGCAGCACCCTACCCTACCTGGCCTACTATACCCCTCTCTACTCTTCTCATACTGCTACTCCTGCTAAACTCCTCCTGCTCAAAAATACACACACTACTCTATTCCTACCCTGACCTACTCAACTAGACTGGATCTTAATTATGTCTTACAACCCCCCTCTGCTATACAACCCTACTTTCTACCCAGCTGTATGTATCCAGCATTACTCTCGGCTACACGCAAGAGTGACCCTAGGCGAGAGTGACCCTGGGTGCGCGGACTGAGGGGGCGCAAAGTGGCCAAATCCAAGCGCGCGAGCAGCCGCGAGCGCATCGCGCTCAGCAATCGGGGGGTCCCCGATGAGCCCGCACCAAAGGTCACTACGGCGAAGGGTCACTCTTACGCGTAGCCGATACTCTGCCGTGCACCCTGCTCTGCTCCACCCTGCCCTGCTGCATCACTGCTCGACATCACTAATCGGGGAGACGTAAGACCCGGGTACGGGGGACTCGGAAATCCCCGACGAGGTCGTCAAAAAAATGACGAGGCCGAGCCTGCATTTTGACGAGGCCTCCCGCTGCAGACATCCCACGAAACTCCTCCTCGTCAAAATCCGAGGCGCGGTCGTCAAAAAACGATGGCGAACCCGAGTCCTGGCAAACCCGGGTCTTACGCTCCCCCGACACTAAGCACCCCATCCGCCACACGACCGGCCGTCCCCCCCCCCCTCTCTGCCAAACACAATACAGTATACACTCTGCCTGCGGCGGTGGACAAACCTCCCTGCAGTAAGCCTCCCCTTAGTGAAAATGGCCTGGGACCGAAACCGACGGACCTGAACCCGCAAAAATGACGGCCGCGACGCCCTCTCGCGAGCCGAAAACGGCCAGTTCACTAATCGACGTGTCAGGGTAGCAGGTCTATCCACCTCCGATGCCTCCAAATCTGGAGCATGCGCGGGTGCCCCGCGACAACTTTGCAGCGGTTCTGAACAGAGACGGCGGGGGTGCCAGCATTTTGCTTGCCGCGCGCAGGCCAAGCATTCTTCAGAAAACAAATCACAATAGACTGTGCCTTCGAATCCGGAGCATGCGTCAGCGCCCCGCGACCACGATGTATGGATGTGTGGCAGACGGCGGCGGTGCCCTCATATTGTTTGCTGCGCGCAAGTACACCATCCCTCTCAATAGAAACACTACAAAAATACACTGTGCCTCCAAATCTGGAACATGCGCGAGCGCCGCCCGACCACTTGACATGATTTTTTGTTTTTTTGTTTTACTGGGAAGGCGACTATGTCCTCATATTGCTTGCTGCGCGCAAGCCAACCATCCCTGCCAAATTGCGGTACCAAAAAACTCGGTGCCTGCGAATCTGGAGCATGCGCGCGCGCCCTGCGACCACTTTGCATAGGTTGTCTCAGCTGGGACACTCGGGTAATATTTTTGTGTTTGGAAGGCGGGTGGGAGTGAGCGAGACGGCTTGTGCCTCCTGGGCAAGGGGTGCCTTGACTCTACCGTGCCATGTCCTACCCTAGCCTAACATACTCTACTCGACTCTACTTTACTCACTCTACTCCTACTCAACCCTGCTCTACTCTACTCTACTATATACGCTTATCCTCTCTGTTTTATTATTACTTTGCGCCGCTCTACTCATTACTATTCAACTGCACCACACCCTGACCCCACTCTACTCTTTTCTCTTCTGCTCTGTTCTACCCGACCCTGCTCGGCCATATGCTCTACTCTGCTCTGACCCACCCGACGCTGGTCGACTCGAGCCTGATCTATTATATCCTACCCTACCCTGCCCTATCTTAATACACTCTACCCCCATGTGTTCTGACATGATGTACTCTACGCTGGTCAACTACTCGATCACGTTTTGGTGTATTGTACAATATCATTGTAACTATCCACTACCCTATTCTGATCTAGTCAGATATACAATCCGCCCCTTTGCCCTACTCTACTCTGATCCGTTCGAGCCAAATCTTTCCGATTCT